AAATTTAACATAAAAATATGTTTTTTCTCAGGTGTTCTCATTTCTTAAGATTTTCTCAGCCAGGCAGTAACTAAATCGAAATAAAAAGTATATATTCTTGATCAGCTTTTCAAGCTCTATCAAACCATATATAAATAAGCGAGAAACAAAATTTACTCCAATTCTGCTTTAGCGGCACCTTATAATTCTTTTTTCTTACATAGAATATAAAATGATATTTAGTATGAATCTCATTTTCCTTTAAAAGAATTCATTATAATTAAGTCTTTCTGTTGGTTAATATTATCACAAAATGATCATTGTATGATTTGAATTCTGAAATAGTTTCAATCGCAACTAAGTTTGATAGTAACTCTTTATGTAATTCACGTTTTGCTTTTCAGAGAGTAATTTGCTGTTCTATTGTTACTTTATTATTTAAATATACAACAAACGAATCATCACTTACGCTGTATACATTTTGCACTTTATTAGAAACATATAATCAAATTTAGAAAGGTTATAATAATAAAAGGAGTCCCGAAAAAACATGTCTTCATTGTTCGGAACAAAATTTCCATTAGAAAAAAAAGTGAACATTAACCTTTACGCTAACAACATTTAGCGGTTGTTATACTATGAAGTAATAATTACATCAACCATTATAAGTGTGTGCATAGTTTTACATATAGTTCACATGAATGTTTTGTATGTCATTCTCTGAAAATGAATACCAAATCATCAGTAGCTCAACTATAAGTTATTTCAAACACGTAAATCTTTCTATTATTAAAAATTGCGAATGAAGTCGCTGGAATTTTCAGTAATTAGTATTAATTTTAATATCAGTAGTTTAGCAGTTTTTAACATAGATTTTTTCTAATTATAAAGATAAATATAAATATCAGGAAAAATATAAACATTTTCATTTCTTGTTATATGACTATTAGTCATTGACAATCAAAACTATGGAGCATTCAAATGGTGATAGTTCTTTGTGTAATGAACGATGCATTAGACTGCTGTATTTATTTTCGAGATGTACGATATACTCGACTTTATCGAAAGACACTCGAATCAATTGATAATCAGAAGGCATAAATTTGGATAGAAGTACACGATTTACTATGCGTTGATTATGGTTAAAAAGTATTTTCTAGTGGATCATTCTTTAAATAGACAACTTTATTTCTGCTTTATAATTTGAATAAATAGAAATCAACAAAATGACTTAGTAGTAATTGCAAGGATTAATATGTTGTCAAACTGAAATTCTAATAATTTACCGCACGGAACGACTATTGATCAATAAACGTATGATTAATTATTTAACAAAAGCTGACATCGTCGAATGAAAAAACATGTATACCCTTCACATACAATCCTTTATACGGAAATTCATTTACTACTAAAGAAACACACGTTAACATTATTGTGAAAATGCAAGGTGATACGAGAGCTTTACTTCCACAAAATTATTAAGATAAACTTATCAAACATAAATGTTTTATGACGTTGTGACAACATGATAATGAAGGTCTTAATTATATTCTCGAGTTCTTGACAGCTGTAGAAGCGAGATGTTTTCAATGTCTCTTAGGCAGTAAAATAATCATGTTTCGGTATGTTTCTTTCTTTTACTCGTAGGACATATTTATTGCAGTCTACTTTCTAGTCTGACAATAGATTGATATTCTTTTATCTAATCAACAAATAGTCAATCATTTATACATGACCTTGATTAGTATTGCATCATAGCAATTCAATGAAGATTTGATTATAAATATGAGGAACTATTCTTCTATCGTTTTGTTGACATCATTAGATATTCATTCTTTCGAAATATAAATATCTGAAAGCTTCCTGTAACAAATCAAATTCATTTTCTAATCAGTGATTGATATTATTGTTTAATATTATTTTAAGTGTACGTGATAAATTTAGTAAAAAAATATTGATATGATCAAGGTCCACTTTTTCGATAGAATCTAACAAGGTCATTTTATTTATCTCTATCGAAATCTTTGGCATGCAGCAGTGAATTGCTCTTTCGATAAGATACTGTTCATCAAGTTATAAATAACCGGAAAAAGACCAGGCGATGCAATTCATTTATTAAATTTTATCAATTTTATTTGGTAAAAGAAAGAAGAAAGGAGACAGCGCACAAGTAGGCAGAGTTTATCATAAAATTGAGAGCACGAAAAAAAAGGATAGGATCAATCAGTCAGTTAGCAGCTTCCCGCACTAATAACAGACAACAGAACGTAGACAGAAAAGTGGGAAACAAACAGGAAAAAAAGCAAGCAGCCAAAATGAAACAACAAACAAACAAACAGGAAAAAAAGAGAGATAAATTGTTGCTTAAGATTGAAGAAGAGAGATTGAAACTATTCTGTCACATTGAAAAAAAATCGAATAAGATTATAAATCATTGTTATTAAACTACTAGAGAAATAAAGACAAACGCAAGAAAAAAAGGGAAGATGAGAAGAAGCATATTCAGAGAAAAAAAAAGCGATAGAACAAAGGCTTAGGATTCTGTGTATTTCTTAATATTCGTTTGTTAAAATTATGATTGTATTAGACCAAAAAGAAAAGTTTCATCCTTATTTACAAAGACAAAAGGAAAATTAAAATTGAATCTTCTCTACATGTATAGATAAATAATTAGAGAAAAGATAAATGTTCAAAATTCCAATCAATTTTTAGTTTTCTTCTATAATCAATTGTTCTTCTTCATTGTTTTCTCTTCTTATATGGTTCCTCTAAAGTAATAATAAAGACATTGGTTAATTTTTCATTGAATCATTATTTTCTTGATCATGCGAAGACTTTAGGCATTATGTCATTGAAAGAAAAGCAAATGCTGCACCCTCCCCCGTCCCCTTTTTTTCAATTCAACAAAAAATAAGAATATTTTACTCTTGTACAATGTCACTTACAGGCAGACCAATTGACATCGCTAAAGAAAAAATTACTTTTGGCGATCATTCAAAAAACACTTAGCGAACCGAAATTTATCAATGAATAGTTTTGTATTATTAATTCTACACAATTACTTACTAAGGTAAATTACGGGACGATTCAGAACCAAAGACAATCTTTTGTGAATGTGAAGCTCGTTCGTCACCCTGTTCATTGAATAGTCGTGTTTCACATTCTGTGCCCATGCCCCATGAATCAAGTTTATCATTAACAACTTCTAATGGTGGTCGATGATGAGCATTTTGGGCACTTCGAGCAAATATTTTCAATTCACAGTTATGTTTCATTATTAAGCCATACGGCATAGTATAAGAGATTTCTGGTGAACCTTCTACACGTCGTTTCAATGTCCAATTTGATACATCGACATCTTTATCACTTGAACTGTTTTCAAGTGTGATACATTTGCCATCGGGTGCACAGTCTTCTGCAATAGAATGAAAAAGAATATGATTTGCAAAAAATTTCAATGAAACTTTTGAAAAACGAAGATTTTTCTTATCTATTAAAGATATTTGTGTCTTTTGTAATCATGCAGTTTTATTTGACATGTTTGATAATGAGATAATAATTCAATTATACTCTTGGGAGTATCTTGAATAAAATGTGAATAATATTCTCAACGGAAAAAGAACTTCGATTTTGATAATCAGCAGTATAGCATGTAATCCAATCATAAGTTAAGCATGAAGTTCGATTCAGCTGTTATGAGTTCAGCTAATCAATGTAGCCTGTATAGACTTGACGTCTAGAGATTAACTGTTGTTTACACAAGGTTGTCAAGTACGTCTTCATTAGGAAAATGTTACCAACCGCTTGTGTGGTTCACACCGGAGAAGTCAAAACAAAAAACTATACAAAGATCTACACTGAGATTATTGTATATTTAACCTTTACATAACAATTGTAGTCACGAGTCTGAAAACCTTTCAATTAGATTTCTTTGCTCATTGAGAGTAAGAGAAAAATACCAAAATATTTAAAAAAAGCTTATCGTTTGATATGCTAGTAAAATTCTTTTCGTGCAATTCAAAATAGGATAGAAAATAGAATCCATACGTACTGATAGCAATTGGACCTTTCTTTATTTTTTTGTTAAAAACTTTTCCCAATTCACTACCAAATGATGGTGGTGCTGGTTCAGGTGGTAAAATTTGTTCTACTGTTTGATTTGCAAGTCTATTTGTTTCATTATCTAATAATCGTCTGTAAACATTGATTTCTGATTCAAGTGTTATGTTGCTGAAAGAAAAAGAAAAGAAAAGAATCAAATGTGAAATAGTTAGATAAACATTTGGTTCGAAATAATTTTACCTTCGTAAAACAGTATCGATTTCACCAGTTAATTGTTGTATACGTTCTTGTGCAAGTGCTAAATCTTTGTTTATTGAATCATTAGCATCACTTCGTTGATCACGTACATAACCATATTCTTCCTCTAATTTAGATAGACGATCTTGTAAGTCTTTATATTTTTCTTTTTCAGCAGTTAATAATTTTTGTGAATCATTTAAATCAAATTTCGCAGCTTTGATTTGTTCATTTATTTTCATTAATTCATCTTGTCGCGATTGCAATGGTAAAAGTTTCTTAGCATCATTTTGAATTTCTTCTATTTTAACATTATAGTATTCTTCCATTTCTTTACGTTGAGCTGCATGTAACGTTTCAAAGTCACGCCGTATATCACGTATGGCTTTTTCCAATTCTTGCCGATAAAATAATTGAGTATCAATGCCATTTGTTGGTTTTAATTGTTCGAATTCACTAAAATACAATAGGATATGAGAGTTAGGATTGCATTATTTGTTAGCCATGCAATTTCAACGAAATTAAAATACGTATATGTTGAGAAAATAAGTTTTCTTAGAGCCAGGACATGCGAATAAGTATGCGTATACTTAAATGGAACGTTTAAAATTAATTTGGAATTAGTTAATGTTTCTAGAGAACCGTTTTTTATTTGGGACTTTGTGTGGAGCTAAACTTGTGGAAAAATTCGTATTATAGAGTCTATTCTGTGGTTGTCAAACTGTTCTTGGTATTATTTGCAATGTATTCGATAGTTCATGTCAATTAATAATCAAGTGAAAGATTCAATAGATTTATGCATGTCTTAGCTAAAAGATTTTTTTCAGGAATAATAATTCTTGTACAAAGAAGAAGACTTGGCTGAATCCTATTTCGCCTGACATGTCGTATCATATAGAAAATAGTAATCGAAGAAAGAATCTTGTTTTTTCTTACTTGAGTAAATGTGCATGAACATCATTAAGAAAAGGAATTTCTTCTCGAAGTGTTTGAACTTGTAAATCTAATTTAATTCTATCAATCGTTGCTTTATATGATTGATCATTGAGTTGATCGATTTCGTTAAGATATTGTTCCCGTTGTTGAAGTAAATTCTTCAATTGATCTTCAACTTGCTTATAAGATTTTTGTAAAGCAGCTAACTCTGCACATGAATGTTCATATTCTAATTTTAATTGTTCACGTTTTTCTTCTTGTCGATCATTCCATGCTGTTTCATCATTGATCAATGAACGGTAATTATCAATTGTATAATGCGAACGACGTAAACGTGTTTGTAAATCAGCCTCATCCATCATACTGTCATTAACTTCTTGACGGAGATTATCAAGTGGACCGGAATATTGGGCAACTATTGCTTGCGATGCTGTACCCCATGATTTTGTTATGTCTTCAAGTTGACCGGTTAATTTAGCATTTTTATTTTCAAGAGTTTTAACACGATCAAGATAACCTTTAAGAGAGAAACAAAGCATTCGATGGCTTATTAATATTTTCTTTTAAGATGAATTCAATAAATACCTCGAAATCGATCATTTAATTCAGATAATTCTTGTTTTTCGCGTTGATGTTGGACACGTAAATTATCAGTAACTATAGCATTTGTCGATTGATTTAATAATGCATACGGCGAACTACTACTGCTGCCATTTAGACCTTGTCGTTGCATACTTGGTGATATCTCTCGAAGATTGGTACGATTTCGTGTGCCTGTTTCAATTGAAACTGCACGTGCTGTCGTTCTTGCTAAATCAGTAACACCGGATGACATTGGACTGTGTGTTGTTACAGAGATAGATGATGTTGAAGGTACACTTGTATTGTTATTAACAGACGGAGAAACTAAATTATTTATTGATGAAGTACCAGAAACAAGATTTGCCGATAGCTCAGTTTGAGATACTATGGGTGACGAGGATGACTAAAAGAATAATGAAACAAGATATACATACATACATGTACATGATAATAGATTAAAACTAAGCAAAGAGAAAAAGAAATCGTTATGACAACAAAGAGAGACGACGCCTCAAAAGTTGTGTCGTCGTGATTATACGATGCATATGAACAGTAAGACTGTATGTTTAAAAAGGTAATAAAGTTTTAATTTATAATTCTGTTCGTACACACACACATATATATATATATATGTATAGATGATAGATAAAGATATAGACCTCTTTATAGTTGAGAGAATAATTCTTTCATAAGCATAAATATATTATACAAGTGTAGTATACAAAAAAAGAAAAAAAGTGAAACGAAGAGATGAGAAAAGTGACTGATGAATATTAATGTATATATATATATATGGCACCAGCCGTAATAATAATCTAAGGAGAAGTGACAACTATAGCAGAATGAGCACACATAAACCGCAAAAAAAAATAAAATAAAGAAGTTGACACCTGAATACATATAATATCATCTTTGATCCCTATTTCAATATCAATCTCCACTACTCTGAGGAGAACAACAACGACAACAACAACAACAGCAACAGTAATGAAAACGACCGCATCAACCTAACACAGACGGATTCTCAAGTTAAATGTTGGTTTATGTCTTTCGCATCATTATGTCTGATCGACACGGTCTTACATTTGTTTTCCTTATCACTATAATTATTCTCAGGATTGCTGTCTCTGATTTATTTTCCTCTATCTTTCGATTAATTGATGTCTGTTTCTATATGTCTAATTGTTTGACATCCTACATCTATCAAATAAACCCTCAAGCACAGGTGATTTCCTACGCATATAATAGCCAAAGACCTTTATTTTATTTTGCTCTTTCACAAACATTCACATACATATGGAAGCAATGATTGCAGTAGTAAACAATTATTACTCGAATTAGGAACTTATAAGTACCTAATAACACGAAATGTTAGACATACACACCCGTTACTAGTCCCAGATGAGCAATCAATGTTGCGTTTTTTTTCTCATCACACTTCATATATGTGAACAACAAGCTCCTTTTCCGGCATACTAGAAGAAAAAGTTTTTATCAAAAGAGAGAAAGACAGAGAGACGAAGAGAAAAAAGCATTAAGAAAGCAAAGTCAAATACGTAGAACATGCTTCGAAGTGATGGCGAGAAAAAGAAGACGAAAGGATTATCATTAGGCGTCGCTTCCGCTAAGCTCGCATGCAAATAATTTTATGTATGGTAAAAAAAGAAATGATTGAAAGCTGAAACCCAAGTTTTTTTTCTTCTTCTTAAACTTCCACAAAAATGCTAAAATCGGGACAACAAGGTTAAAAAATTAATCTTCTACGTGTTTTGATATGCGATATCACACTTTTGATCTAATGAAAACAACTAATATATGTACATTAGGAAAAGACTTTCATGAAATCTACCTAATTGTCATCTTTGTATTTTCTATTCGCAATTTATCGTCTACTTCCTTAAAGTTTAGCAATCAAATTGTATGTAAAGAAAAATCACCAATCATGAAAAGTGATTAACAACATTTCTATGCATATCAATCTCGTTTTTTGGTATTATTTTTTTGCTAGTGTCTTTCAATATTATTTCTTTCACACATTGACAAAGTTCTCTTCATTATTTCTATTCGTGTCCAAGAATAAAAGAAAAAAGGAAAATGAGAAGATTGTTATTATGCGCTTTGATTTCAACAATCCGTGATTATAGCATATAAAAAAAATTTCTTTTTATTCTGTAACAATCACAGTAGATGGCAACAAACCGCAACGTTCATGCATTTCTATTCTCCTCAATTTGTTTCTCGTTTTCATATCAACTCCTATTTTCAAGGACAGAATTCACGAAACACCATAGAAAGACAAATCTATCGCTCTAGCAATTGTCTATTTATTGACAGAAAATTCTCAGCTGGAACATATGATTATATTCTTGTTAGACAAATGAGAACTTGTCTTGTTTTTTCTCTTCTTTTTTTCTGCTATAATCATATTGACAAGCATATGTAAATTTCCAATATATTTCTATGATTACTACAATTCAATAAGCAGTCTATTTCGGGTATTATCTTTAATAAAAAAAAAGCAAAAACAAAAACAAAATATCATCTATTTGCTACATGAATAATTACTTAAACAGAAGAAACATTTTCTACCTGAACACAAATATCCGTCCTTTATTGTCAACCAAAAGTAAAAAATGAAGAATACATTGTTTTATTCGTTTGAGACTAATTGAATGAGATCTATTGGATTTAGTGTTTTATGCATATATCTATACTTATGCAGATGATCTATCTGTCTGTTCATTTTTGTCTGACGGATGATCCTTATGAAAACATCTATACTATACATTCAACCGCCCACCATTTGTTTTTGCTCTTTGTCTCTCGTACTCATTAAATTTGGCCATTTTGACGAATGTTTTCGTTTCACTCTTTTTTTTCTAAACAAAATATTGTCAAGTTTTATTTTGTGAATGTAATACTATTGAGTAAATGTGTAAATGAAAATTTACTAGTAATGAAAATAAAATAGTTTGAAAAAAATGTAGGCTGAAAGTTTTCCTATGGAAGAAAATGAACAATATACTAAATCCCTGTTTTGTCGAAGAGCTAGAAAAATATGTATTACCTTCTTTGCTTACTTAATTCACTTGCTACTGTGTTGATTTTAGTTGTATATTCATTGAAATTAGACAAACTTCAACGTTCTCGTTGTCGGCTTCTTCTCTGTTGTTTATTTTCTATAGAACACACACTATCAAGGTGAAGTCTTTTTTACTCGTACTCTTGTTTTATATCACACTTCTTCTATGTCAATAAGAGAGAGAGAGAGAGAGAGCGAGAGAGAGAGAAACTAGAGATGAAGATGAAAAAAGGAGAGAAAAAAAAGACTTGTGGCGATGAAAAATACCTGCAAAACCGCAATATACAGGTAGACAGAAAAATGTCAACAGAATTCTTTTGTTGTTTGAAAGCGAAAATTATCCTCGATGTTTTGAATATTTGATGCCACGTTTGCAGTCAACAGTCAAAGGCTAATACTCTCTTTTTTTTTGTCTGTATACAAATTTTGCTATTTTTCGATCTGCGGTTCTGTGACATATCTTGTCTGTTTGTTCAGATGTACGAAAAATCAAAGACAAATATCGTCTCTATATAGAAGATTATGTTTTACTACGTACATGTCTATATGAGAAGGTTTTTAAGGCACCCAATTGTATGTGGTCTAGCTGTCTGTCTATCTCTCTCTCTGAGAAATAAACATCTCGTTAAATAAAGCGAAGAATTTGTGCACCTGCCAAAATCGTATGTTAGGCAAATAGAAAGTATCGATGCTAGTAGTAAACAAATATCACAATTTCTTCTTGTTATGTTCTTGTTCTCTGTTGATGGTAGTGGTGGTGGCAGCCTCGATCAAGATCAAGCCGATAGTTAATTACACAAAAAATAGTATACTAGAAGGAACAAATGTATGTGTGCGTGTATGTATGTTTGCATGAGATAGAAGACGAGTAACATCATTTTTTACAAGGTCGCTCAAAAAGTAAACTATAACTGAATGTTTCTTTAATTTCATTTTACAAGATTCCCCATTGATGACGGTATGCGCTTGTATCTCTACAGTGCGAGTTTCACATAATAGTAACTATAAAACAACGATGCTTATCTCATCATGTTCGTTCTTTCATTTGCATACGATTCTGTTTGTCACCACCAAATTCAATGCTTGCCCTTCTTTTTTAGGCACGGTTTCATTTTATTTCAATGTTTTAGCCTGCAATTATTACTATCATTGTTTCATACAATATAGTCTCCCTCTCTCTCTCAGTAATCTGAAATGAACCTTCAAATGAACAGCTCATCATTTTTATATGCGTAGATATGTACACATACATACAGAGAGAGAAAGAGATGCAGCCATGTCCTATTTTATCCTATCATACCCTATTGATCACCATCATTAATGTGTTCAGTAAATAATTAATCAAGAGTGTCATTTTAATAACACTCATTTTTCAAAAAAAATAGTTTCATATAGTATTATATCAGTTCAGCATATTCAAAAAAAAAAAGTTTCAACGGAATTAAACGAGACATCGTTTTTCTCGTTTGTTCGTTCTGATATCTATTTATCTTTCGACACTCTCATGTCCTCCACATTCCTATCTTTTTATCATTAGTAACGGATGAGTCTTCTTTTTACCATTTACTTTTCGATCATTAAACCTTTTCTCAGTAATCTTCAATAAAATCAGAAAAAAAGAACATTGATGTTGTATTCTCAATAAATACACATGTCCTCCAACCATCATCCCTTTTTCTACGCGTCAATGCACAGTAGGTCAAAGCCAATTTTCTCGGTCAGTACATTCAAGTCGGCCCACGCCTACTCATTTCGAGTCTCTTGTCTACAGCTGCAAGCGATATATGATTTAGCATTTCAATTTTGAACGACTCTTTTTTTAAATATGCAAAAACAAATGGGCTTCCTATAGAGATAGGACACTATTTCTGATTGAAATCATATTGTCGATAATACATAGAAAAGAAAGTTTTACATCATCACCATCACGATCATCATCATCATCATTATCATTATCACCACCACCACCGACAACAACAACGACAACAACGCCACCGTCCCTCTTGCTTATAGAGAAAGAAGAGAAGTAGGCAACACATATGTATGCAGAAAGGAGCGCGATCGTGTGTAGGCTGAGTGACGTGTATAGATCGTCATCGCATTCGATTATGTGCACACGTTCTCGCTCTTTCGTTGATCATAAATCTCATTAAAAGTACGTGAGGACAGACACACAAGTATGTATCAAGAAAAAAAATCGAATGAATAAAAGAAGAACTGTACAATAAATAGGTTCAATTTGTATTTGTATAAAAAACTTGCATGAATCAAACAAGAAAATTGAAGTTTGAGAATGTATATCGAAAATTTCTATTGACTTAAGTCGGCACCATCGAATCAAAAGAAGAAAAAAGAAGCAAACTAGAGCATTGATTAGATCCTGCGAACATGAAGACTAAAAAACAACAATGGTTGAAGCCTTGTTCATGTATATTCTACATATATGTATATATATATATATATAAGCCAAAGAAAGAGAAGACATCCAAGTTTTAATTAACACAGACGATTATCAACGAGAAAGAACATGACATAACCAGCCAGATTTGATTACATGTACTAATAAAAAGAACCATTGATCTATAGTAGTGATCATTGACGTATTGAACATCTATATTCTCAAAAGATTAACGTCCACTTAAAAAAATACCATACGTACTAGCGTGTACAATTTACTAAAGGGGGAGACGAAAAAATAGCTGAAGACTACTTATGTGCACTTCTATTCTGAAGAATAATACTTTTCACGCCTGTGGCATGTCAATTCATATGCTAAACCGCGTCAATCATTTTTCTTCATATATCTTCTATATATTAACAAGCAAAGTAAATCGTTCGTATGAACGATGAAACTCATCGATGCTGAACGAAAATATATTAGTGAATAATGATCGATAAAAGACAAGAAAGAAAGAGAGAAAGAAAAGGACGAGTAAGATCAAAAGAAGATGAAATAAAAAACGATTAATAAATGAACTTACATTATCTGAATTATTTATTGATTGTCCAGGACTTCTTAGGCGTGGAACAAGAACTGTTTGTTCGAGTTCAAGAGATGAATTGCCTTGAAATGTATTTATTAATTTTGATACACCTGTTGAACTTCGTCGTTGTTCAGTTTCACTTGTTAGTAAACCATTTGTAGATGTTTTCGTTGATGGTGATGGAGTTTTTGTCTTTGTTAGATTTGAGTCAATACTTATTTGAAGAGGTTCAACAATTGGTTTCATATTAAATTCTGCAGCATTTGATATGGGAGAATGTTGTTGACTTTTTGATGGTGATTCTCTTGGCGATGTACGTTTGGTGGTTGTTGTTGTCAATGGCGGTGGTGAACGTTTTTTATATGTATCATGCCCATTTGTTGGGCTATGTTGTTGAGATGTTGGTGGTGACGAACGTTTAACTGTTGTTGTTGTTGGTGGTGGTGGTGGTGATGTTGCTGAATCTTAATTAAAGAAAATGATTTAATAAATTAATTAAATAAGACAATGCTGATTTCGTATTTATCTTTACCATTAGTATCTCGTTTATTACGTGTAGAACTAAGTGTATTCGATTTTTTACCATTTGTAGCTGCGAGATGTTCTTCAATAATTGTTGCATCGTCTTGTATTGGTGTTTTATCTATTTTTAGTAAATTTTGTATTTGCTTTTTTAACGATGGACGTTTTGATTTATTTTTTGTTGTCGTTGACGATGATGATGATTTGAATTCATTAGCTAATTGATTATCAACATTATCGGTTGTTGATGACGAGGATGGAGATACTTGTTGTTCACGTTTGCTATTTGGTTTTTGATCACTTGATGAAAAGCTTGCAGATGTTTTCTTTTGATTTCCATTTTTTATAGTTTGTTTTTTAAGTGTTGATTGATCATTGTTCGCAACAGCTTCAAAAACTTTAACACGATCCGTAACACGCTTTTCTTCGGGTATAATAACACCGCTTGTTGGACTCAATTCGCGTGGTTCATTTACTTCGAGAAGACGTGCTGCGGATATTATTGAAGATCCTGATATGCCATTTGCCGCATTTAATGCATCATCAAGACTTATGTTTTCTAGTTCAATACCATTATTCGAAGGATTTGTCACTTCTGATAATGAACCATTATCAAGGCCATTATTGAAATGATGTTCATTAGATGAATATGTAGACGATAAATGACTATTTTGAATATGCTTATTACCTTGTTCATCTGATGATGAAATAGTTGGTGTTTCTAATGATGTCGAACAGTTACTACTATCAACACTTAATGGTGTTTCATATATATGATCATTTGAATTGGTTTGAGAATTATGATAACCATTTGTTGGTAATATAGTTTCATGTTCATTTTCATTTTCACTACCTATTTTAAGTTTAAGGGATTTCGATGGGGAATGATTTCCATTTTCATGTATGATACCATTTGATGTATTATTGATTTCAATAGATGTTGGCTTTATAATTAAAGTATCAGCTGGACTTGTATCATTAGACATATTGGCTTGTGTACTTGTTAGACCGGTAACTAAAGCACCGATTGTAGAATATGATTCTGTTTGTGGTTGCTTGGATATGTTGTTATTGTTCTGATTTTTATTATTTGACGAACGACGTTCGCGTTTTGTATTTACCTTGAAATGAAATAGATTTGATTTAGAGATGAAATCATTTCATATTCAAAGGAAAAAAACGAAATAAAATGCCAAAATTCAATTAACAACAAAAAAAAGTAAACCAGATGAAGTTCTCTGTTCTAATACTTCGGTCTCTTATTGATGGTCACTTACTTCTTTTCTCTTTTTGTTAATAATGCACAGCTAATACTCAATCTGACTGACCATCTCTCTCTCTCGCCCTCCCTCACTCCCTCCTTCTCTCATTTCGTCTCCTATTCTCTTTCTCCTATGTTCTCGAGAGACTGAGAAGAAAAGAAATGAAAGAGCACACTCTGTGTTCTGTATATATGTTAAATCTTTCATCAAATTGTACTAATGTACGTATGAATTTGAGACTATCTTGAGAGTAAAAGAGAGGAAAAAACAGAGAATCGAATGTTCAAATATGAAGCGAAAAAGCCATTGTTAGATTTTATTTTATTTTTGTTTCTCTCTGTTATGTACAGATGATTCTGATTACGTTGAAAAGGTTTACTTTTATTCTCATTATCATCTTTAACGAGGTTAAGAAATGTTAGTCATGATGAAGACGGCGAATTTTATTTACACTCGCTTGTTATACAACCTAATCGGGGATGAGACGAGAATGTATTTTTTCCTTCTCATTCTTTCTATAATAAGCAAGTGTCGAAAGACAGTCCATAGTAGTAGTAGTAGTAGTAGTAGTAGTTACTAGAATAAACTGACCACCGTTCATTTGAGACATGTATGACAAAATTTATTTTCGGATAAGTGAACGTTTGAGTGTAGTCAATCTATGCATACATAAAAAGAATAGTCAATGAAATGACTTACGACTTTGCTCTTGTGCATGATGCTTGATTCGATGGTGCTTTTTTTATTTCAGGTTGTGATAACTGTTAATGTTGAATTCAAATAAAGAAAAAAAATAATAATATAGTGCGCATGTATAAGTGTATAGCCGTTTTCTTCCTCTCACAAGATCACTCGACTAACGAAAAGGATATATGACGTGATAGGCGGTCAAGAATTCAGTCAACACAACGTGTAGATATCTGTAGATAAATAATAGTAGAAGAATGAAGGAGTAAGAAATACGATCGATTCGCAAAATGGAGGAATTATACAAAGTCTTCAACTATCAGAGCAACTATAAAAATATACACATACATTTATATACACACTTATATATATTTATATACTGGCTCAATGTATCTTTGCTGTTCTCGTATTTTATACCAATACATAGTCCGTATCACACATCAGTGAACAGTAAAATAAAGGGAGAAAAAGATTCAGTGGACGATGACGGTGAAAGATATTTATTACCGGATGTATAGATGCGTCTTTTTTTACTCAACATTCATTTTTTTTCGTCTTACTCCTTCTCATTTTTAAACGAATAGACAAGCAATGAAAGTAGCGATGGTTTTCGTTATATTTTTTAATAGGTCTTACTGTAATGCATACATACACACACACACACACACATACATGTATTTCGATTATATGCGACAAAATCTACATGATGAGAAAAGATATTATAATCATCATCTTATATGAATTTATAAAACGATCATAAATCTGTCAAAGGTGATAATTTCAAATTAGAAAATTTATTTTCATCAAATCTTTTGTCTTTTAAGTAAATGTAATGAAGTAAGTTTATACAACAAAAAAAACCATGGACAATATGAATCGATTGAACTTTATATAGTATAATATGTGTTGCGAATTTTTAATATATATACATATATCATATCAATTGATGTTCTCATGTCTAGTTGATGACGAAGTTAGTAATACTTTCTCATTCAACTTTTTTTTGTTCATCTATCATTGTGGGTCAAATAATAGACATGTGTGTGGGTAGAAACTTGTTACTCGACATTACCCACTGTGACGAGAGAAGGTGTTCTTTCTTTTTCTAATAAGCAAATAATGTACTGTTGACATCAACAATAATAACACAAATATGATCTTTCTTCTCCGGTTTAATTTGTTCAGTTTGTTGATGAATGATGAATGACGTTTATTCTTCATATTTCGTTGCTTTTTACGTTTGACTATTGACCGTTGGTCAACAATTAGGTTGTTATCTTTAATAGACTACAGTCGATTATCAATCATTTTTAAATCAAACGATTCATCAGTTATTTCAGACAAGAGGAAGCCATGTTTTAAAAAGAAGTACATCATGAATACAATGCAAACATTTTTTTCTCGTCTTATTTCGAGTTTTTATTTATACAGTTCTTAACATTGAAGTGCTATGACGCGCCGATCACTTATATCAATAATTCATGGCTATTTTTTTTTATTAAAAGTTTAATCGATTTATATTCTATTTCATTGATAATTTCATCAATTTTCTTTTTGTTTTTGTTTATATACTCATCGATTTATATATTATATACTATGAAAGACTCATTGCATAATTCAGTTCGTATAGATTTAAGTGGTTTTCGAATCAAGAACAAATGTAAATCAATTGTTTAATGAAAAGTCTAGAAATAAAATTTGAGAGAAAAATATCTTCAATTAAAATTTCGAATAATCTTTATAAATTATTATTTATTCAGTTTTTTTTCTACTAATTATATTTGTAATAATTAAAATAGTCTATGAAAAATGATGCATTGAAAAAACTTATATACTATTCTTTTAATTATTCTTGGCAGTTGAAATCTTTGTAAAATTTATATTTAGAAATTTTTTAGGAACGACATTTGCTTAGCAAAACTGTAAATTGAATCAAAATTTTGTTTTTATAACTCGATGTATGCAATTAATAGTAATTTGATGTGTACGATCATTTGCATGAGAAACTGATATTATTAAAATATTGATTACAACTTTCTCTGGAGTTATTTTTCTCATTATTCTATTCATTTGGTGGATCGTTGTAATCGTGTTTGTTGTTGGATTTTTTCAAATTAATTAATTATTTCATTGTTGATACGATGGATAATGTTAACATTACGTATAGCGCCTACATTGAAACAACGAACTTCATTGTCTGTCTGTCATCCCATTGTCTATTGGACAGCTTTGATAGCTAATATCTTTAGTTTAATCGGCCTTATTGTCCAAATTTGCATTGTAATAGGTGGTAGTACGACAGCAAGTAAACAAATCATTGTAAGACCGTCAGTAAAATGTGAAAAGAAAAGAAAAGAAAAGACGACATTAACATTTATCTATATTTATATAATCTGCTTTTGTACATCAAATTATGCGCATATGTTTTACTGATTTTATTGTTATGAAATAAAATAGATTTGTAAAAAAAAAACAATACGAGGATTAATGAAATGATTGCTCGTGATTATTTTAATTATGAGAAATTTACTTTAAAACAGATGTCTAAAACAAAAATATTCTTCTGAAGTATACGAAAATAAATTATTGTTGTTATTCATTTCGATTTGATAAATCGATTCGATATGTACCAATACGTCCAATACCTTGAATGATTAAAAATTCTTTATAAACATGTACCGTTGCAAAAGCATTTGTATCCGGTTCACATTCAACTATGGCATGTAGTGTTAAGTGATGGATATTTTTTTCGTCATAAAAATAAGCACCTTCGTGGGAGTGACCAGCAATATAAGCAAGAACAGTATTATCCACTGTCCATAGAATATCTAAGATATCTTCATAGTTCCATAGAAGGGCGAGTTCATCACCTGCTTTTGGATGGATTGGAATATGACCTGGTGTGTAAGAAAAAGAAAAAAACTGAGAATGAAAAATAAAACGAATCTTTCAAAGCAATCTAACAGAAATCTATAGAAGTCAAATGTACATAAAATAAAACTTGAAGGTAATTTCTGAAAATATACGATGTCGAAGAAAAAGACTATTACGATCGTTTTTGATTAGAATAATCTATGCTGTTGATAACAGAACTATATAAACAAGGGAGCTACTAAAAATAATACTTTTTTATTCGAGTACATATTTGATCTCCAAAGGATGTCTTATTAAGGATGAGAAAGCCTAGAAGAGCTCGTACTCTTAAGTTATCCAAGCCAATTTCTGATCGTTTAATCGAATTTTCGATACTTGATTGCTATTATGATTGGCACGATATCTTGAAAGTTTCAATTGAAAAAAGATTCTTTTGTTAAGACGATGAATGTTAAACAATAATTATTTACTTCAAATATCTTAACAAGAAATTAACCTGCATATTCAAGATTTGCACAAAAAGAAAATTCTTGTTCAACTGAAGCTGTCACAATGTTTTCTAAAAAAAAGATTTTATCTAGAAATATTAATTTGTTTTTGAAACATGTCTTAATATGAATCGAAAATTCAATAAATCAATCATTCCTTGGTTTAAAAGATGCATCGAGATAATGTCTAATTAAGACATTTTCATAAATTCAATAGGGTTTTTAACAACGACTATAAGTTTGAACAGTTATCTCCCAAGTGAAAAAGATTAGGGTTAATTAATTGTGTTTATATTCAGAGAAAATGTCACTGAGAATAGGCTACTGATTATTCGCGTATTTGTTTATTTTTTTTTTTGACTCAATACTTTTAACAGAAACATAAGATAATCCTGAGAAAGTCATAGAATGATTGATATCATCCTGTTTTTAATACAAATATAGAATACGATATCTTGGTTGGCACTATGTATTTTAACTGTTTTCTTTTTGTAGTTCAAAGATCGTCGTCGCTTTTATCATTAAATGATTAAACTCTTTTTTTTTGTAGTTTTCCTCGCCATTTAGACTCAAGAAAACATTATCTTTACTCATCTAATTAACTATTAGTATTATGTAAACAAATCTATGCATCATCATGACATTTTATCAACATTTTTCTATAGATAGAAGTAAATGATATGTCATGTTTGTAAAAGGCGAGAAGCTTAAATACGACATAAACATACTGGTTTAATTAATTATAGAAAGTCTCGTATCAAATTAAATTCATGCCCTTATTCATTAGACATGACGTAAAAATTTAATTAACTTTTGCGTTCTAAAAGCGGCTGTAATCTAGTCACATTTAGGCCAAATGAAGATTTTAAGATATATTAGGATTGTAGTAGAAAGATTATGACGAAATTTTCACTTCTATTTTAACATGATATGTTCTTGAGACATTTAACAAACAAGTGTTAAAAATAACTCATTTTAGAATTCTAGGTGTTTGTTGACCTTCATTTTTATATGATTTCATCTTTTATTTGAATAAACATGTTAGGATTTCTTGTATGAGAGGACTTCAAGTTTTAAATTCTTACTTTTAAGCGAATAAAATTAAAATGCCGTGCACACGGGAAAATTCTCAAAAAAACATGTCAATCTAATTATACAAATGTTTTCTCTGTACCAGTAGTAGTACAACTCAATTGAAAGAGAACACTAAAATGCTCTTTCGAAAGCAAAATACATTAAATAGGTAGAATTGATTCACATGTATTTATTCATCTTATATTCTATTTTCTTGAAGAAAATGAAGCTCTATTTTAAGGAACGAGATAATATGAAATTTTCAAACTACATTCGTACCTAGGAAAAGAAAAATAATGCATCTGACATTAGCATGATTATTTATTTCAATTGTTTTTACCTACGATAATAACTTTTTCATGAAGATGTTTCGCTTTCATCAATTCTTCTTTTAACCACAAAAGTTGTTTGTGTGTTAATGCACCATTTAATTTAATAAATCGTTGTTGATAACCATCTAATCCAGTTGGATCATTAACATTTTCATTTTTATTATATTCTTTTAGTAAATTCATTGCTTTGATATAATTCTCATTATTTTTATCAATGCCTAATAGACTTAATTCGTAAGTATCGATTGCGATGATTCTCAAATTAGGACAAACCAACAATGTCCCATAGTGACCAGGTGAAATATTTTTGGTATCAAAAGAACACAAAGGCCCATTTAATAATTCATTTCTTGTAAAATTATAGAGTTCATGATTTCCCCATATATGATATATCGGCGAAAAATCTCGAAATTGTTTAAGAATCAGTTTTAAATCATCTGTTGATGTTTCATTCGTCTGACACGATCCATCAATTATGTCTCCAAGTTGAATTATAAACGATATAGGATGAATTCCGTTTAACCAATAGTTACATGCTTGGTCAACTAAATTCAATGAATTTCTATAACGTCTAAGAAACGTTTTTGAATAATTCCAGCGATCATCCTGATTGGCATAATGAATATCTGTTATTAAGCCAAACGATACTATTGGTTTTAGATCTGTGGAATCTGTTTCAGTGATGGCAATAGTCGCCATCTAAAACAACTGAATAGTTGATCGTCTGCATTCTTTTGGTTTTATTATATTTAAGAGAAAAATACATGTATAACTTTATTTGTATGAAAGAGAAAAATTGTGCATTCCACGATATGAAACTGTATAGAATGAATGTACAATAATAGAGAGCGAGAAGAAAAAAATGATAAGATCTTTAAAATGGTTATAAGACGGCAGTTCTTTGTTCTTCAAGATAATTGACACATTACAAATCTATCAATTTTGTAACGTACAAAAGGATAAGAGATTCTATGAACCGAAAAATAAAAATAAAAGCGAGGCGGTATAAGCTCTATGACAAATAAAACAAATTGTTCTTATAACAGAAGATTTATAAAATAAAAGCAAATATCTTTGTTTTGTTCAGACAAATGGATTGTTTGCGTTGAATGAGGGTACAGTGGTACTGTTGTTATTGTACGATGAAGGAATAAGTGGTGCAGGTAATGTTGAATCATTTGCAAAAGCAGCACTATTTGACGTAGTTAATTGATCAAGTGTTGGTGGTTTTGATGTACTAGTAAAAGGATTTTGAGTGCGTGCTACATTTGAACCAAACGGATTTGTACCTAAATTATTGAAGTTTTACAAAAGATAAATATAATTAAATATAATTTAGTTTTCTTTTTCATACTCTTAGGATCTGTAACAAGTCTGTCAAGATTAACTAAATTAATAAATTTATCGCCGAGAAAGCTTTCTGGCGTTTTACGCGAAGCCGATAATGACGATGATAAAGGACTTGCACTAGAAGGATTTGAATTATTCATATTAGTAAGTGTCGGATACAGTATGTTTCCATCGAAACCAATCGTTGACATGTTGGTATTTGACGGAGACATTGAACCTATATTTAAAGGAGAAGATGTTGTATTCCAAGGATTTGATGATACAGGTTGTTGTTGTGGTTGAGTATATGATGGTGTTATCGCTATGGAAGAAAATCATTATCGGTTAGTAAGAGCAAAATCAATAGACAAAAAATCTTACTTGCACCAGCTCCGAAAAAGTCACTTAATTCATTTTCAATTGTTTTTGAAGTCACCGAGTTTGAATTTGTTGGTGGTTGTGGTGCTGGTTGAGATTTAACTGTACCTAAACCCCAAGGGTCTGACATATTGATCGAAAGGCCGGCATCCATATTCGAAGTTGTAGAAGCATTTCCACCCCATGGATTCACTTTTGAAGTTGCTGCTGTCGAATCTTGCCAAGGATCATTTGATACTGTTGTAGTAGCATTACGGCCGTTTGATTCTGATGTCCAAATATCATCTATGAAGAAATTAATTAATTTTTCTCTTCTGTTCTATGAACAATTATCAAAGATTATTCAACAAATGTGCACATAGATTTCAGAGAAAACTAAAATTCGCATCTATGTTTCTTACTTGTAACAGTTGTAAAGCCAAGATGATTTGATGGCCGAGTATTTGTTGTATTCCATCCCATATTTAATGATGTTGTTGTTGTTGGTGGTGGTGGTGGTGGTGGTAAATATGAAGTATTAGTTTGATGATTATAAAACAGTGATGGATCCAAACCTTGAGAATTCCCATTAAGATCAAATAACTAAAAAATATATATTTATGAACCAATAAAATAGATGACTGTGATTCGAATAGATTCTTTTCAACAATGGGTTCTATGAAAACTATTGATATTCTTGATCGTGTAATTATTTACGTAATGATATTTGCAAGTGAAATTCTTCTAGTAATGAATTTATAAACTTGTGAAATATCAACAATCGATCATAGATATTAATAAATTTTGACAGTAGACATATTTTCAACATGTACTCTAGAAAGGATTTATCGTTTCGATGAAATATTGTCTCTCAATAGATAGTTTTCTGCTATACATAATTGAAAGAAAAAAGTTCTTCTCTTTTTCATTGATTTTACTATACCTGTGAGCTATTTGGTTCAGATGATGCCTCATTAACAGATCGTTCTAAAGCTATTTTAATTTTTAATTCATCATTTCGACGTCGACGTTCTTGATCTTCAGCCTAAGAAAAAATGAAAAAAAAACAACAACATTTGATTGCTATTGTATATGTTACAGGGGAGATTGAAATGCAGGGCTATTTAAATAGCCCTTAGGGGAAATTGAAATTTCAATCTCGCCTAGGACAAATTAAAATCTTTTTTTTCCAGTGCAGTTTATAAGAAAAATTGAAGGTTTCAGTTTCTCCTGAGGCAAATTATAATTTTAGTTTCTTCTATAGGAGAGTTTTAAATAGCTCTAGTAGAAATAAATATATCATTGTTTCTATTCACAAATTCTATATTACCATGAAAATGATTAAATATTTCAAAATAACCTTATGTTTTCAAGCAAAATAATCTTACAACAAAACAAACAGTAGCAACAACCTACCTTACTGAAACTAACACGCTTAATTGAGCACACGCATTTTGGTTTTTTGGGTGACATTTTGTGCAACTTTTAATATCTTTCGTTTTGCATGAGCACGATTTTGTAGCAGATGTGCCATTACAATAGCATACTTCTCCAACTGGATTTAAATGCGTGTGCTCCAATATGTGATATTTGTTTTTCTAGATATAAGTGTGTTAGTTTCAGTAAGGTAGGTCGTTTCTATTGTCTATTTTGTTGTAAGATTATTTAGCTTGAAAACATAAGTCTATTTTGAAATATTTAATCATTTTCATGGTAATATAGAATTTGTGAATAGAAAAAATGATATATTTATTTCTACTAGGGCTATTTAAAACTTTCCTATAGGAGAAACTAAAATTATAATTTGCCCTAGGTGAGATTGAAATATCAATTTCCCCTAAGGGCTATTTTAGATAACTCTGCATTTCAATCTCTTCTGTAACATATATTTCAAGTTAAACTAACTTCACGTTGTGATTCTGCTAAAGCTATTTGCATTTGTAATTGCTCTTCTTCTTGACTTGTTGGTTGAACAAAATCTCTTATCGGAGCTGTATGAAGACTATCGTTATATGATGTTGATCGATATGTCGTTGCATATGGATTTGTACTTGAATTTGATGCTCCACCATATGGATCACTACTTTCAATACTGTTGCGTCGCATTGCTGTTGCTGCTGCACGTCCATATGTAACAGATCCATTTGAATCCATTCCCATAGCTTGACGTACATAACGTTCGCGACCTTCTTGTGCTTTTCGACGTTCATTACGTAAGCGTTCATCATCTTTGAGTAAAGCTACAAGTTGTTTAGCTCTTTCACGTACATTATAACCTTGATCTTTTTGATCTTCAACATATTGAAAATCTTTCAATGTTTGTATAGCAAATATATTTTCTTTGCATTGTTGGCCAACACGTTCATTGCCATATTTAATTAAATGATCCAATAATACAAGAGATTTATAGACATGACGCCAATTTTTGCCATGATCATTTAATCGTTTCCAAATAACTATAAAATTTATAAAGAAAAAATAAATTCAAGACAACGAATAAAATATGACATCAACAGTAATTCAAAGTGGTGCTAGATGAGTTATTGTTTGATTTTAGTCTTTATAAAATACAGTTTTTAATATCATATCAGAGTTTTGTCAAGGAGTTGCATGCTTGATCTCTTAACTGTATTTTGTTAAAATAGCGCAATACTTTTGCTTGATAGATAACTAAAATAAACATTATATTTCTTTTTATTCTATTATAAAAACACAGTAAACTAAAATTTTTTATACAAATTTATCTCAGTACTTTCCATAAAATTTTTTATTTCCATGAACAATTACTACATGTCGTACTACTCAGTGAGATATCATAAGTGATTGAGTACCAGCAGATACTCATCGTAGTTCACTCTTTATCTTAGATATTTTCGAGTTGCTTCCTCAATGATCTAACGGCTGACTGAACAACATATAGTTCTAACAAAAATATGCCAACTAGACGGTTTTTGAGAATCTTTTTTTTTGCATCTGTTGACATACTATTTTAACTCTACATAAGAATGACTTTCTATAAGGATTGGTGAAGTAAACTTGAACTGTATGATTCGACCTTTCATGGTAAATAAATGTTTCTCTCTGTCGTAGACAGTTACAATCCAATTTGTCATCTCTGCATACTCATAATAACATATTCCAATTCAAAACGTTTTTACTTCCTAGAATAGTCACATGAAAAGTCGAAAAGAAAGAATGAATTCCATTGATATCTTCTCATGTTTACACTAATAGGTTTCATAATGTCAAGTAAAATGCATCATCAGATTGACTTACTTGGCATAATTTCAGCATAGGCAACAACATTATCTGTAAGATCAGCTATTTCATGCATAAGCGCTGGTGATGGTCCCCAAGCATCATTTGATGTTGCTGAACGTACTTTACGTTGAGCATCGGTATAATTATAAATAACATTTCGAACACCTCGTGCAATCATCGAATAACAATATATTTATATATAAATAAAACAAAATTCTTTTGACGAAAAGAAAAATGTGCTGTGTGATTATTTTGATTGTTCAAGTGAATTCTCTAAAACAGAACAAATAAAATCGATAGTTAGCGTTAGAATCTATTTGAGATTAACCAAGACAAAAGAAGACACAAAAATCCATATGATAGACAAGTGACAATTGAAAATAAGATGAAAAAAAAAAGAAGAAAACAAGCATTCATTGGAATAGAAGAAAATGTTTAAACAAGTTTTTTAGCTTCGAAAAATCCTTTAAGATGACGCATTTGCCAGAAACCAGCTATAACAAGAATAAGTAATTGAGCTATTGACCACCATAATACACGTTGATTTGTTGATTCACTTGTAGCGCGAAAACGTTCTTCACGATAACGTTGATAGTTCTGTTCTTTGCTTCTATAAAATAAAACAACAGAATTTTTAATTAAATGAATTCCTTTTTATTTTTCTTCTATTAAAACGGACATCTGTTCAACTTGATCTAATAATTGTCTAACACGTAGCTGAAGTTCAGTTAATTTTTCTTTCGCACTAACTTGTTGATAATCAATAGCATGTTCACCAATATCAATATCAAGATGAACACGCTAGAAGAGATGGAGAAAATGTTTTTAAAAAGATATTCTTTTGTTCAAAAATTTTTCTATTTACTAATTGTTGTCCACCAAACCAAGCAGTTGAATTCGAATATAAACAAATAACATGTTCTCCAGGAATATGTGATGTAAAAGTAAAACGCCCTTCACTCGTATATAATTTTGACAAAACAACTTTTTCATCAGGATCTTTAACTTCAACGTGCATACCAATGCCAGGCGTCGATGGTAGATATGTATTGGAATTAGCATCGAATAATTCAACTTTATATTTACCAATAACTAACGTTTGATCTGGTATTTCTTCTATGAAACATTTACGTTCAGTTTCACGTATGTGAAAATAAAGTGAATGTGTTGTTAGAATTAATTGAACAAGAATAAAGACAACCGATAGGAATGATTGATTTCCCATGTTTATATCTTGAAAGAAAATAGCACTTGATTATCTCTTGAGACAAAACAAAAGCAAAACAAATGGAATAAAAGTAAAAAAAAATAAAAGAAGAAATATGCTGTCGTGCTGCGTGTACGGGTAAGACATGTAAACCAATGGGAATTTGGAAACGCATCATCTGCATTACCGATCAACTCCGTGTTGTTTTCAAGGAGGTCATACAGCTGTCAGTATGGTCTGATCCATAGTATATTCTATGGATAAATTTATTTTACTAAATATTTTCCTTTTTCTAAATAATAGGATTGATGATAAAAAAATAAAGACGATTATCCGTTATCTAAAAATTCTACAAAGTCTTTTTGTTTTTGAGGGCAAGATTAAAAATGATGAATTTCTATTGTTACTATCTTGTAGATTGATCAAAACCAATGGCCATCGGCAAAAATAAACGTTTAACTAAAGGCGGTAAAAAGGGTGGCAAAAAGAAAATGTATGAAGAAAATAATTTTGCTCTTAAAATTTTACGATTTATTAATTTTATTTAAGTGCTGATCCATTTTCCAAAAAAGATTGGTATGATGTCAAAGTACCTACTAATTTCACAGCACGTACTATTGGTCGAACTCTTGCTACACGAACAACTGGCACAAGTAATGTATTGATTTATATTCGAAAAATACATTTTTATATTATTTTATTGCTTTTCATTTGCTTTAAAATAGAAATCGCTTCGGATGCTTTGAAAGGTCGTGTATTTGAAGCATCACTTGGTGATTTAATTCAACTTGACGATGAAGATAGCTATCGAAAATTTAAACTTATCTGCGAAGACGTACAAGGTCGTCATTGTTTAACAAATTTCCACGGTATGGATATCACTACAGATCGTCTTCGTATGCTTGTTAAAAAGTGGCAGGTCATTAAGAAAAAGCTATTTTTCTTTTAAAATAACTGTGATTAATTAGACTTTGATCGAGGCACAAGCTGACATTCGTACGTCTGATGGATATCTTCTGCGAGTATTTTGCATTGCTTTCACAATGAAAATGCGTGGTCAAATCAGAAAAACATCATATGCTCAACATACACAAGTAAGGTTTAATACACATAGGAGTTGATTTTTTTTTAATAATTCTTATTTATTTAGATTAAAGCTATTCGAAAGAAAATGGTTGAAATAATGACACGAGATATTAGTGGCAGTGAACTTAAAGAAGTTGTTAGCAAACTGTATGTTATCGATTAGTTTTGAATATGATTTAAATAGGAAGGAAATGTATTTTATTTATTTTTTATCCAGTATACCCAATAGTATTGGTGCTGAAATAGAAAAATCTTGTCGTAGTATCTATCCATTACAAAATGTTAATATTCGAAAAGTGAAAGTTATCAAAAAACCAAAATTTGACGGTAAAAAGTTTTATTTGTCCTCCTTCTTTTTTTTTGTAGCTAATCGATTATTTATATTTCTAGTCGCTCGTCTTATGGAAATGTATGGTGAAAGCTACGGAAGTGTCACTGTTGACGAAAAAGGCCAAAAAGTAGAACGAGCTGATGGCTATGAACCACCAGTACAAACTTCTGTTTAAGAAGATGGGACCAACGATTAGTTTTAAAACAGAATCCCAGATCGATCGTTTTCTGTCTGAACAAGAAAACATAAAAAGAAAAAAAAGTTTATTATAAATTCTTGTTTTAGACCGTTAAAGAATAAAAGAAAAACAAATAATACGTATTAATTCTTTTCATCAATTATTAAACGACATTTTTTGGCACATTGATTGATTTACTGGTTTGTACTTTAGCCAATATTTATCACTAGAATAGAAATATTTAGAAGAGCATGTTAAATAATCAGAGCCAGTCTTTACATTAATTATTAACTAAGCATAGCGATTTCAAACTTCGACTATAATCGATAAGAATGTGCAAACGACAAACGAACGATTTCACTTGGCTACAGTGGCAATCACATGCTATGACAATTATGTGTAGCGCAGAGATGAGGATCAAAAAAATCTAAAATATAATTGCCAAAATAATAAATTTGATCAGACTTATAGGTAATTAGATCAGGTTGCTCCCGAAAAGAACTAAAAACAATTTAATCAATAATAATAAAAAGAACATCGGCTAAATATTAATCTGAAGCGTCAGTTGACGATTTTGAAATATTGTATACAGTCTTACAAGGAAGTGATCGATAATTGCTTTTGTAATTTTTCATAATGCATATAAATTTTTCTTACTTTAGCAAATTGAGTTCTTGCAGTTTTCCCTATACCACACTTGATATAATATTTATCTTTTCGATAAATTTAAATGTTCAATGTCGAGATTTAATTCTAGCTTTTTACTGGCAATACTGTTCACTTATCCATTTCATAGTACACATATCTTCATTTCGGAAATGTTATCCTCATGTTGTGTGCTATGTGTGATTGAATTGCATGCCTGTGAATTGAGGTTTATGGGAAATGAAAAAGCACTATATTTCTATCAAACATATGACTCATTGTGGCATCTATAAATATTTTTTATTGTGATTTACGTTTTCAGTGGTAATGTTTTTGATGAATGCAGACACCCATAGTTCTCTTGATTAGATTGTAAGAGTGTGATTGTTTACCTTAACATTTAATTTTATACTATATCATGCAAAAACCAAAGTAACCATGCGTGTCTACAGTTTTTACAGGTGACTAACCAATAATTGCTTTATTGTGTCCATCTGAATCGAGCAAACTTCCGATTATTTGTTGATGTCACAATAGTTCATTGCCTACTCGTTGTTATTTTACTCAAAATGTGCAAAAATGCAGAAGTACAACCGTTCCGTTTAAAAAATAGTAGTATCTTGAGTTCTCAAAAATGTTAGTCATTTCCTTTTTACTTTCATGGTGCAAGATGAAAGACAGTCGTTTCATTGTGACTTTTATATTGTATACAAAAAAACGGCTATACTTTTGTATTCAGATAAAAAAAGTACAAGTTGTCATTCGCATAATAATTTTGTTCATATTTGCTTGTGAAGGTCTGAAGAGCGCAACCAATGTATTTTCATGTTCGTCACATCTGTGTAAATATATTTTAAAGGAATATGAACGGGAGCTTAGATGACTAACGATGATCACGAACAAATAAGTTTCCTTTCATTTTCTTTTTCTATACTAATCAACACTATTATTTGAAATTTTCTTGATCGATATTGGAAAATTCTCTACAGAGATAAAGAATCCATAATCACGTGTGTTCAAACCGAAATATTTTCTTTCGTGTAGATAGAAAAAAAAATGTGAATTGATAATCAGACGTTTAGAGTCTTTTTTCTACGCAATGAGTTCATTTCATTTTCGTTATATAAGTTTAGATTAGTAGTTTATGATGTAAGATAAGTCAGCAGAGTTGTAATCTATTTTCGTTGTTCAATGTCTCATATGAGCGATATATGTATAGGTTTGAACAAGACAGACATTAAGATAAGATAATTTTGTTTGCTGTTTGTCTGTTGCCGTTCACGCACTTCACATATTCATCAAAATTGTGGTCATGATGAAATCATTATATCTCCTTGTTTTGATGTTTCTCTTATTACAGAAAATAAATTTTTTACATGAATGATTAATTTAAAGATAGATTTTTAACTACGCAATAAATGTTTTCTAATCAACGTGACCTGTCTTGCGTGTACTTCTGTATTTGTAGGCTCTCCTGAATGATTGCCCCCCAATTTCTATTTTTCTTTTTTTTCTCTTTTTTTTTCTTCGCTGCTTAACGAGAGTTGCTGTCGATGCATAAAGAAAGAGAATGACACGTTTACTGTTGCTCGCGTCCTATACATTTATGCCACGTTGTATTCAGTAGTAGTAGGACAGTACATTTCATCATTCATATTTGTTCACTTGCTTGCTACTCAATATATAGTCTGTTTTTTTCTTCAATTTTAGACAAGCATATCCAGATTTTTTTCTTATTCAAACTAAACGTACTCGCGTGAACGACAATGTGTGGTAGGTTATTCAAGTTTTATTTTTTCTTATTTTTTACCTTGAAAACATTTGTCTTGAACTATATGGTTATTACATAGGCATCTTTGGTTATTTGAACTATTTGGTCAAACGCGATCGCAGATTTATTGCTGATATACTTATCAATGGCCTTCATCGTTTGGAATACCGTGGTTATGATTCGTCAGGCATTGCATTTGATGGTGACAATGTTAATGAGAACAGTAGTAGCGACCGAACTTGCATTCTTGTAAGACAAAAGGGAAAAGTAGAAGAACTTGAACATGCTGTTAAAAGTAAAAACAATAATATTGTTATATTCATTTTAAATATTAAAATAATTTATTCTTTGAAATGAGTAGCATTATCTGATATTAATTGGGAAGGTGAATATACTGTACATCTTGGTATAGCACATACACGTTGGGCAACTCATGGCGAACCAAGTGCAGTTAATTCACATCCACAACGTTCCGATGATCTCAATCAATTTGTTTGTGTTCATAATGGAATTATAACAAATTATAAAGATATTAAACAATATCTTGTAAATAGTTCTCGTTTTTCTTCAAATAATTTTATCGAAATTTACTTTCATCCATTTAGACAAATAAAGGTTACAGATTTGAATCTGAAACAGACACTGAAGTCGTTGTCAAATTAGTTAAATATCTTTATGATAAACATAAAAACGAGAATATTACTTTTCAAAAATTAATTGAAATGGCTTGTTCACAATTGGTAATTGATAATTGTTTTGCAATATTTCAATATTGATTAGATATTATTATAGGAAGGTGCGTTTGCATTATTATTTAAAAGTATACATTATCCAGGTGAATTATGTGCTACTCGGTAAGTTTTATACTTCTAAAATAACACAAAACACATTTGAATCGAAATTCTTCGTTTAGTCGTGGAAGTCCAATGGTCATCGGTGTTAAATGTGCTGATCAATTAGGTGCAAATCATATTCCAGTTATGTTTAGCAAAGGTAAATATACATAT